ATATTGAAATATTCAAGACTTTTCCATAATATACATGTTAGCTGCATTATACAGAAACATAAAATTGATATTTTCTCTCAACATACAAATTAATGTATGATTATATAACCAATATAAAACATAAATATTTAAAAAGTATCATTATGTCTCTATCTTTATATTAGGATATTATGAAGTATTAAATGTACAATTCTTTACAATTTAATGTGATTTAAAATAATGAATCAATGAAAATAGTTGTACCATTATCAGGACTATTTATGTTGCAAAATGGTATTACTTTCGTATAACTGTAATGTTGAAATTATAATGTATCATGTTTTCAATTGGGATAAATTCCAAAATATTAATATAAATGTAAATGTTATGAATATGATGTTAAGATGATATTGTTATAAATTTTTTGATAGTAGGAAGCGTTTACAAGAAAATTTTATTTATTAGATATATTATTATAGGAATTAATTTATGATTCTCCTTTTGTTGCTCAATATCAGTAAAACTACATAATGATAAACTAGCTTTCATTATTTTAAAGTAAATTCTTAAAAATATTAAAAATAAAAACTTGATACGTTACGAAAATACGAGAGAAAACAAAGTTAAATGTTTTTTTTTTTAATTACATAAAATGGCGTACACTGCAAAAACTAATACATTTAATGTATAAGAAAGTATATTTCAAACCAAAGTATCATGTTCCTTATATAGGATATTGCTAATTTACTATATTATTAAGTATTTGTTATTTCGCTATATACTGTAAAAAATAAAAAAAAGTAATACAAAGGTATGCAAATAGTATTTATTATTATACTCCATATTTGGATTATTTTATTCAAACAGAACAATTTTTAGAATTTTTAATGAGATAGGAATTTAACGTCAACATGTAACAAGTGAAAGGATTAGCACCTTTTAAAAATATTGATTACAGTTATTGAACAAAAAACACATTGTGTTGTACTAAAGGAGGCTTACATTAATGGTAAGCCATTTAAACTATTTAATCCAAAAGTATTTGTACAAGAAACAAACAATAGTTTTCAGTTTTTAATTATTCTTTATGTCATTTTCCAGTATTCTTGAATTTTTTTTATCTTAAAGAATTATTTTTTTAATTCAAGATAGTTACAATATGTACAATATGAAAAGGCATCTCGAATCAAAAAAATATTCGTAATTCTTAAATATAAAAAATCAATCTGTACAGTATAATTAATATCTAATTTTGTTTAAATATTATCCTAAGTTTAAGTATTTAAAGCATTTACAGCCAATAGAGTTTTGGATCATCCCTTCGCACTTGCAGTTTTAACACATGTCTATATATTTTTAATGCTGGCCCTAAAAGTAGATCAAGTCCACTCAGAACATCAGATCGTTTCATTAACAGTAAAGAATGGCCATCAATGTCCTGAAATACATATCAATGTACAAATTATTTAATAAAAAAATTC